TTAACAATACTTCTCCGTATAACTGTACTGTACAATTGCTAAGTAATTATATTTTCTCAGGAGCGATATCTATTCCATCGGTAACTTTTTTCCAATAACATTGCGTGGCTCATATGAATCATTTTGTCAACATCTCACTTATGTGAGAAGTAAAAAAAAACGTTTGACAAAACGATTATTTGGGGGGAACATTTGTCTTGTTAAGATCCGTCATAAATTCGATACTGGTTATCAAGTAAATGAAGTTTTGGAAACTACGTAGTGAGTAAGTGAGTGAGTGAGTGAGTTGGGTTTAACGCCGCTTTTAACAGTATTCCAGTTATATCGCGGCGTGTCAGCTTAATGTGGGAGGAAAGCCCGAAGTGATGCAGGTCTCAGACGTTTACCACTTCGGTGAAACCCACGAGCACGGGTATGGTGCTGACAAACCTAGAAACATAATTGGGGCGAACCGGGATTCGAACTCACAATCAAAGGTTTCTGGCATGGCCAAGGGACGCAACTCTGCACAGCGCATCGCGGCGCCTTAGACGACTGGGCCACCCGTGCCCCCTGGAAACTACGTAGCTGTGGCCTGCCTAATGTAATCGATTATCAGTATTCGTATAAGATAACTTGTTATACTAGAAGAAATAATGTTTTAATATATTTTTGTCAGATATTTTCACGCAGTATCCAACTCATCTAAGGTGTTATTAAACGTCTTACAGTGAGTGAGTTGGGTTTAACAGTATTCCAGTTATATCACAGTGTGTCAGCTTAATGTGGGGGAAAAGCCCGAAGTGATGCAGGTTTCAGAAGTTTACCACTTTTGGGGAAACCCACGAGCACGGGTATGGTGCTGACAAACCTAGAAACATGATCGGGGAGAACCGGGATTCGAGCCCACAATCACAGCCGTGCCGAAGGGACGCAACTATGCACAGCGAATTTCGGCTCCTTGGATGACTGGGCCACCCGCTCCCCCAAACTTATCAAAGATTATCCATTGCATGAAGCTACCCTATTATGAATTGGGCAACGGTTGAATATGCCTTGTTATATAAGAGTATGTCTCTGTGTAATTCATTGTTTGTTTGTTGTTTAACGCCGCACTCGGCAGTATTCCATCTGTATGACGGCGGTCTGTAAGTAATAACTACGGTTTATAACACTAAGGTTAATAACATGAGTCACACTAAGATTGATTGATTGATTGTTGTTTAACGCCGCACACAGCAATATTCCAGCTATATGACGGCGGTCTATGAATAATCGAGTCTGGACCAGACAATCCAGTGATTGACAATATGAGCATCGATCCACGCAATTGGGATCGATGACATGTATCAACCAAGTCAGCGAGCCTGCCCACCCGATCCCGTTAGTCGCCTCTTACGACAAGCACGGTCGCCTTTTACGGCAAGCATGGGTTGAAGACCTGTTCTACCCCGGATCTTCACGGGCCCTCTGTGTAATTGGACGTTCAGATCTTCATGTTTCCAACGCCAGGAAAATACTGGAGAATGCCAACAATTATGTTTGGTATAACTTGGCTAAATACCGTACTCGGTACACTGTTTTATAAAAAACAATTCGAAAACTAGGAAAGCTCGTTAGATATAAAATAATTAATGGTAGTCGTCTACCGCCATCTTGCTGTCTATCTACAACTGTGAACTGTTACACGTGTACTCGTGTGCGTCGCGCGCGTCGCGCGGGTTGTTTTCAGTTATAAACACTGATTGAATGAGTGATTGTACATGTCTCCATATCTGCGTTCCCCTACAAGTTGCCGCCCCTCCCCAATAGTCGCCGTCACCGTTGGCCCCAGCCTATTCTATTTGCCCGAGAATAATCGCCTTAAAATCGTAATCGGATCGCAAACAATAGTTTAGTATACACATCGTCAACTACATCAGATTTAGAGATTTTCTGAGGGTCATAAAAAGGCCACACTTTTTCTCAAGGCCGTTTGTTAACGAGGAGAAAGCTGCTTTAAGTTACCTATTGTTGGTCATATGTATGGCATGGTCAACTAATATAGCCAATATTGAAAACTATTGTTGCGGTGTATAGAAAGCTCTATAGCATGCTTCGGGGCAGATTTCAATGATGGCAAAATAGTGGGTATCGCACCGCCTAAACTCAACACACTGCCCCAAGCTGTACCACTGTACATCAACATCACCGGGTATATTTACAAACCGTGTAGGGAGCAGATCTATAGATGAATCGTTGGCACGCGTGTGTTTATATGATATTCTACAAAAGTAACTTAATTGGGAATATGAAACAAATAATTTGAATCAAGTATTTGAAAGGCATTTAGAAGTGATACACACAAGGAAGAGAATTCATGGATGTCAACTTCTTTATTATGAGGAACACAACTTTTCGGAGTATATACTTCTCCTTCATGAGGTGCAAAACGTTGCGTTCCTCATAATAAAGACGTTGAGATCCATTAATTCTCTTCCTAAAAATCTGAATGTTTTTCACATTAAAACACTTGACAACTCTCCATGTGACACGAGATACTGGACTGTATACCACAGTGTAAAACATGTCTCCGTGCTATCCCCAGAGATGGTGTGCCTTGTACATTTAATAACACACAATGTATCCTTTATTTGATATTAATGATGTAGTGAATAACAGTATAAAGATTCATAAAAAAGCAGTGATTGCTTGAATTAATACTTTGTTTAACTGTTTAAACCATGTGGTTTTCTCCAGGAAGACCTTAGATCTAAGCAGGATCTGCTTTGGGTTATTAACTGTTACTTTGTGTTGTTGTGTATTTCTTCATATATTCAAGAGAAACCTCAACACATACGTGCTATCAAAAACAACGATCAATCATAACCATAGCGATTTATCAATTTCCCGGAAAGGAAACTTACCAGTGAAGAATGGATAAAAAAAAAATCACAAGAAAACACCCCTTATTATAACACGATCGGTCCCTAGAATGATGATGATGATGATAATAATAATAATAATAATAATAATAATAATAATGTGGTTGTTGACGGTAAGATAAAAAGGGTGGTCAAGAGGTGATGATGGAAATATCGGGTGGTTCACAAAGGGAGTGTGGGGGAGGTTACACAATCGGATAGTGTTTGAAGATAAAGTGATGAACTTGGACAATTTCATCTTAAGTTGTGAATTTGGTGTGAATACTTACTATATTTTTCAACATATTTCCGACCCCGATGTCAACCTCATATTGCATTCATGAAACGGATTCTTTAAATAACAAATATTCTTTCGAAAGTCATAATAAAATTGTGTTTTGTGTATATGAATATAGATTGGCACTAGATGTTGAGGGTCGATAGATTTAGTGTCGGAAATATTAAGTATATTTAAAGCATATTTGCTTTTTGACAGTAAAAAATATTCACTTCTCTCGTGGAATTGTAGTGGCCATACAAAATATACTTCTGTACAGACCATACCAAATATTTGATTAATTATTTTTCAAGAATAGTCTATTGATCCGTTTTATGTTTGTTTCGATATCAACTTCAGCGGACGAAAAAGAAAAGATTAATTGATATATTTTTATTTTGTCGGTTGAACGGAAAAGCAAAAGGTTTCGCCTTATCTACTAAAGTACATCTATGCTATCCCTGTCTCTGCACCGGCTCACGGGGATACACAGTGGGACTTTTATGTACTCTCTCTGCCAAACATACCTATCGCCAGAATTTATTACGCGTTTAAGCACTTTATGAATGCATAAGTAACATATATTTGTGTCAAAATATAGGACATTTCAGTAATAAGAAAATGAGAAAGGTTTCACGCCACTTTCAGCAATATTGCAGTAATATCTCTGCATAGGGCCTTGGAAATTAACAAATACTTATAAGTACATGCATATCATTAGAACTACAGACGGCAGTACTTGTCACACAATTGAAACTGTTTCAAGGATGCAAATAGAACAAACGTATCTACTTGTATAAAGAATTAATAGAGGAGGAATAACAATAAAAAAAATACTAATAATGATAAGTTTATGGCGACTACGGGGGGTACTTGGTAACTTGGAATACAATAATTCTGGCAACTGTGTGCAACTATAAAACGTCAAAAGCCAAAGAATAACAACAAATAAACAGACTCCTCTGTGCGCAAAAGCCACAAAAACAGAGAACATTATATAAATGAAAATCAGTGAAAATACCAGGTACTCGCGAAGGTTCAGCCTCAGGAACTGATACCAGCTCAATGGTATCTACAAGCATTTTGAATTGTAAAGATGTCCACTCGAAATTACCAGCAAGTAACTCCCATTGGTGTTTTTATTAAAACGGATGCCTAAAATTAGTTTCTATTTCTGAAGACGCTGTGGCACAATGTCAATAATAACAAATTATTTGTAAACTGTTGACTTGTAGTATATTTGTCAACCCAGTATTATTTATGTAGCAATATTAATGTCATATCATTAACACAGCTTCATGACAATATCACAGTGTCAAACCTCAAGAGGAACACACTGGTAATTCATGGTAAACTTGTCATCCAAATACCTGTGCGCAAAGGTAATATATCTACAAGAAAGTATTATGAAATAGCCATAACACTTATCATGCGAAATTACCCATGATATAATTCGCGTATGTGTAATATAAATATTGCTGTTATCAAAACAAGTTATCGAAGTATAAAGCAAGCATTGAAGCCGTTAATTGACTGGTGAACACAGTGACGAAACGCTTCACGTAATAATACTTACGTGGTTTGGAAACGCTTCCGAAATCTCGTACTATAACGATGACACAACGCTATTTGACAGCGATGATGTAAAAACAACATAAACTCCGGGCGGCCATTGCGCGACCAAGACAAGGGTCGCTAGGAGCGGTTACGTAACCACATACGTAATGGGTAATAATTGCACTATCATGTGAAAACTCGTTACGTGGTGGTTAGATAAATGCCACGCAACGTCGGAAGTGATATGGCATTGGAGGCAAAGATAGATAGATATATATACTTACCACGGCGTTCTTCGCTCTTCTCAGACCAGTGGTCACTGTGCTGTGATGGTCACTTGAAACTGTACTGGTCAGACTGTGTGCACTGCGCTTGCCGATTGGCTGGGCACTAAGCTTGTTCAATGAACCCACCTCTCAGCAGGAGCACGCGTTATAGAGAATAGAGGACGCCCGTAGCCGAAGGCTCGAATATAAATTCAATTTTTTCAAAAACGTGAATCGCGAATCTGCTTTTGTGTATATATCGTGTTTAAAAGTAGCAACTGTCTTCAGGAAGTCTCGTGTTTCACAAAAGCCAAAATGCAGTGGCTAGCCATGCATTTAAAAAGCGGGTCGCTCGTGCCACGGGTATTGCGTAATCGATTACGTAACGTGTAAATTACTTATTTGACTGGAGGCAGTTTGATGTGGTGCAAGACAGTTATGCAAGCAAATCATGTTGATTTCAGGCGACTGTGACAGGTTTCATATTGCAGTGTGCTGCTGTGCTGGGTTGACGAAATGGGACGTTGTGTTGGATCAGTTCTGAGACTCGTCCCGGGAAGAGGTGACGACCACTGGATGATGAACTTAGGTGTAACCTCTTGTCGGTATTTGACACAGTTGAAAACTTCAGTCATGAATTCTCTGTTGCATGAGTGGGAGTAAGTTATCCACACGCCACGAAGTTGGAGGAGAATCTACGAAAGTAAAAACAGCTTGCATTTGTTACCAGTGCATGGTATTTTATCGTCCGCTTTTTATTGTTCTACTAATAATGTTGAGAAGAGATAAATTGCTTCATATTCTGCACAACCTAACACGTAATGGAAAACACAATTCGTGCATGCTTTGAAAAAACGTAATGCTAATGTAAAACATTTCTTACATTCTTAGACAACACATAGCTAATGTCAAAAGACATTTATTGTTTTCGTTGAACCACATATTGCTAATGTAAAAAGACAACACATATACTCTTTGAACAACGTATTATTTATGGGATAATACAATCCATGTTTTCTTTGATCAGCGAGTTAAAGGTAACGTACGCTCCCTGAACACATTTAATAGCGCATTTCTTTGGGGAAAATCAAATTCATGAATTTTTATATCGTATTACCTTTTGGAAATGTTGGTTATTCATTCTTTGAATCAGGTTCTACTTATCGAAAGACACGTCATTTGTTGTTGCAATCATATATAATCTAAACAACACAAACAATTCGTGTATCTATAATTTAAGATTGAATGCTGCTTAGTTTTCTAGTCAGACAACTGTATCAGATAGTCAATTGCAGACAATTTGCAAGTTTCCAGCAATATGACAGCCGTCTGTAAATATTCGAGTCTCCAGTGAGTGATATCATGAGCGTCAATCTACGCAGTTGGGGTACGATGATATGCATCAACCAAGTCAGCGATCCCGTCAGTCGCCTTTTACCACAAGCATGGGTTGCTGAAGACTAATTCTAACCAGGATGTTTACGGGTCTTCCAACAGGCGACGCTCTAGTATCTGCCATGGAAATTACCTAGGTGTCGTTAAACCAGAACAGAATAATTTTAGTACTCCGACGAAATATATGTGATAGTTATAATGCCATGGTTCATTCGTTCAAAGTCTTTCTTTAAAACAACGTCTCTTAAAGTACAAATCCCTTTGTATATTCACACCAATGTCCCATGACCACTCCTGCTCTAAGCCTCCACTTGTCTTGAGGTAAGACAGGTTTAGGATTATGTACCTGACAATGTGTCATTTATGAAGTACAAGCTATAGTGCGAGCACTTTCACGGAGTTGATCAAGTTCGTCGTTAATAGTTGCGCACTTGGGGATGCGTCGTAAAGCATACTTTCAGTTGTCTACCTTAACAGCCTAGTGACCGTTTAAGCGTTACGCTATCGTTGTAACTCCATGCAAATCCAGTGGAGGTGATCAACTGTCAATGGGTACAACAGAACGTTTGCTTTTATTGTTTTACAAATATATCCGTGAGACAGACACGTTGAGATTATGACGGAACATATCGAAGATGCTCAACTCTCTCTAACCCTGAAGATTTATGTCACAATTACATGTTAATAATAGCAAGAATGGGTTTCTTCTATAACAGCCAACTTTGCTACTGTAGACATTACTCGTTAAGGGTTTTCTCAAATATCGATTTTGTATGTGATGCCAAAATAAGCGACTAGACTGAAATATAGTTTTCGTTATGTATATAAAACGCCAACGCCATAAAAAAAAAGAGAGCGAGAAAACAAGTCCCGATTATTCCACGAAACAGATTCCATTGGGCTTAAAGTAAAAATACCAGTGAAAATTATGCGAATGGATCATTGATAAAGTGATGACACCAGGTGTTCGCGAAGAGGATAGTAGAGGGTAATTGTGCCAGCATCCTACTCCTGATGAAGATAGTCTTTATCAGTTTAGACCGAACTTGTATCATATGCATTATGAAGATTATCAGTAATCCATACCGATAAGTTATATCAAACTCAAACTCATTTATGTTTTTAAAAAACACCCACGGTGGTACTTGAGATACAATTATATATTTTTAGTATGTACAACATGGCGGCATTTAGCAGGAATAATGAAAACAGAATATTGAGATGTAATTAATTGACTAATTAAAATATACAAATTATATCTGAGCAAGAAACAGATATTCTTTTATTGTGTATTCGGTGTAAAAAAATCTGTAAAAAATATCAAAATCACCATTTCACCCGAGTGAAATAACAATTTATGCCGCCGGTCCAACTTTCAGTGTACCTAAGTGACACTGCGGTTTTCAGAGTAAGAGCCCGTAAAGATCCGGGGTAGAATAGATCTTGAGCAACCCATGCCTGCCGTAAAAAGCGATTATGCTTGTCGTGAGAGGCGACTAACGGGATCGGGTGGTCAGGTTTGCTGACTTGGTTGATGCATATCATCGATCCCGTGGATTGCGTGGATCGATGTTCATGATGTCAATCTCTGGACTGTCTGGTCCAGACTCGATAATTTATAGCTGGAATATTGCTGAGTGCGGCGTAAACAACAAACAAACATTTCAGAGTAAGATTGTAAAAAAATATGCCAGAAAATACACAATGAATGGAACATTAGTCTATTTCTTGTCATGTAGCATCATGATCTCATTGAGTTACCCGCAAAGTATATATTTGCATGAGTGGCGCATAGATGTTTATGTTACTGGTGAAAACAGGCCCTCATTACTCAAAGTGTCAAACCAACTCACACTTATTTAAAGTTATTTTTTTGGAACTTACTGATATTCTGCAGTCCTTGGCGCCTATTTATGTTTTTCAAAATCCCTTTCTGTTACCAAATTATTTATTCCATGTAGGTTACATGTGTACACATCTTCTTTTTATACAAGGAAAAATGTCTTGATTGGTATTTTGACGTTATTTTGGATAACAACATATTTATTATATATACTCTTTCCATGGCTACTTCATGCATACTTTTTATCCATAATATTCCTTGTCATAGAAATTATAGCTTTTTGTGGGTAACACAGTTTTAATACAGTCCTAAATAATTGCTTTGCGGCATGTATCGTATCGTATCTTTCATCTGTGAATTACTCCAAGTGAAGTGACACATCCAACCTCCAACGTAGCACCAGCTCAGGTCATCGGAGATTCGTCCGCCGCTGCAGGGAGGCTGGCCGGGACTAATTCTACCACAGCCAATAGATTGTTGAGCTGATGTCACGTGACCACCCTCTCATTATTCCGCGAGACGGCTCAATCACAGGTCAATGGAGGCGTAAATACGCCCAACTAATGTGTTCAGTGCTCGCGTTAATCTGCCGTGGTGTGGGGTATTCAGGCCTGCCAAGTGTTAGTCCGCCCCCACGATTCAAGATTTGAGCTTCTCGCTGTGGGCCTGCCAATCACGTTGTAATCTAGCTTAAGGTTCATTGTGGCATTTCTGACGACTGAGGAAACCGATTTTAGTTTATGTACCTACTCCTACGATTTTTGTTTTTGACTTTCACACACAAAAAGCGAATTTAAATTTCACAATTTTATTCATGTGTTATGAGTTTGTCGCTTCTGTGTGCCAGACTGCAATGTATTGTCCACGTCTGAATGAAACTACCACAATGCTTGAAATCATTGGCTACATCGTGCATATTCTGCATATTCTCTGTTGGTTGGGCCCCTTGAAATCCAAGGTAGCATATAGGTCTTCAGCAACCCATGCTTGCCGTAAAAGTAGACTATGCTTTTCGTAAGAGGCGACTAACGGGATCGGGTGGTCAGGCTCGCTGACTTGGTTTATGCATGTCATCGTATCCCAGTGGCGTGGACCGATGCTCATGATGTCTGGTCCAGACTCGATTATTTTTCAGACCGCCGTCATATAGCTGGAATATTGCTTAGTGCGGCGTTAAACAACAAACAAACACCTATTGGTGGGACCAAGGACGTATTTGAGACATGTCTGCCCGATGTGTGAAAGAATGTTGTCTAACGCGGCAGTCAGAAGTATACCCGCTGTATCAGACGGGCAGATAAGCCTTATTTAGGTGCTACTTTTTTTTCCATTCAATTTCGGCCTGCACAGAGCAAACCGGTGATTGAAAGCATGAACATCAATTCACCTGATCGGGGTAAAGAACATGCAGTCAGCCAGGTCAGAGCCTGACCACCCGATTCACAATTTAGTTTGACCCACGACAAGCATGACGTACTGGGTACATGTTGTGAACCGGATCTTCATGAGGGGTGGGGGTAAGGAGTGGGGGGTGCTACCGGGTAATCACACCTGTATTCCAGTATTTACAACAAGTGACGTCACCGGGTCAGCTTGTTTACAAGACACAAGTAAATATGATAGTAGGGGTCAGGGCGTTCAGCTCTTGACCATCCCTGTTCTCAAGTACAGCGCGTGCAGCGAGCATGTGGGTGGCGTCCCCCCCCTGAAGGGGGTTTCTAATCTGAATGATCCGGAGATTACCTGCTTCATCTAAGTCACACTGCATTGCCAGGCCCGCGTGGATTTATTTGTGTTCGCGAACGCCAAGTTGATAACAAACAACTACACGATGTTTTAAAAAACTATTTTGAGAAGTATTTTTCAGGCCGATCACCCTTGAATGGGGCGGTACGAAATGAGCTTTTCCAGTAATTA